TTAGAGGAGGAGGAGGAGGCCAGCTGAACTGTTCTGGTTCAGAAGCCTTTCTAAACAAAAGGAAGATTTACACAACATTTATCTAGCAGCCAATTGATCACACAGAATATCACATAGCCTTTTTTGGACTTAAAAATGTACACCCAGATATTTGTGCACTGGATGGCCTCCCTGTTTAACACTGGTGTCTGATGGCTAAATTGCTATAAATAGCTAGGGAAGAAAATATGTGTGAAACAATGACAAGAACCTCCAGCTTGTCTGATTAGAGTAATACACTATACAGGCAGGGAAATTACAGCAAATTCGAGATAGCTGTGCATCTGACTTCTCCTGTCACACCAAACAGAAGGTGTTCATGTCCAAGTCCATCTCGTCAAAAGTACAAAATTTTGATCTAATGTGTATGAAGCAAGAAAAACAAAACTAAAGCTTAATTTTTTAAATAAAACAGCAGGGTCTGCATTTTACATAGGTAGATTCATTATCATTTGCTTTACATGTGCAATGGTTCTCATCAATGAAGGAAATGAGTTTAAAAGTTATGTTTTGTGAAAAAAAAAAAATCAGGAAACAGTAAAAATACTTCAGCCACATATTTGCTTTAAACAGCCTGGGGGATTACACTCTATAGTCAATTGTGTCCATTTTAGAAGTAAATATCTAGTAATAGTTTTCATTGGGGCTGGATAGTTTGAAAATTTTCAATACCAGTATCAGTACAGTAACCAAGTTTCAGTACTGTACCCAGGGTCCGAAATTTACTTTTTGGCTCGCCAGCCAAGGGGGCTAGTAGAAAATCCAGCAACTAAGCATTTTTTTTTTTACCAACCAAAATAATAAATCACCTTTTTGTCTGGTGCACTTTTTTAAATATTTCATTGAGCTAATAAGGCATTATGCTGACTAAGAATGTTGAGGCCAGAGCAAAATCTTAATATTGATCATCAGTTAATAAATTAATTTAAAAAAATAAATGTTACAACTTAAGTCTTGACCTCAAAATGCTACTTAACATATGTATTTGCTATTAAAGAATGTGAAGCTTTGTAAACCTATACTTGATACTTGAACCACTGTAAAGCTCCTCCTGAGTCTTGAGACGCATCACTCAAACTGCAATCACTCATATCTTTGCATGGTCCATGAAGTCTGGTCTCCTGACTGTGTCAGAGTGTGGCGCCTGCACACGCACGCGTGTTTTCTGGGGACCCGCCGCTCTCTGCCTATTAATGGCTTTGGTTACAGTCAGATGATTAGTTCTAAAGACAGACTTGGACAGTAAGTGTTATACTGTGTCTACACCAAAAGTGTTTCAGCCATGTTTGTGAGAGACACGTGTAAACAGGCTCCTATTTTATTCAGTTAAGCTCAGTACACTGTTTATTTTTCAGCTTGCATATCACTTGCACTTTATGCCTACAACTGTGACCTAAATAGTATTTTTTATGCAGAGTAGGGGCAAATCTTTGCAAAACACAGTTGTGTGTGTCTCTCAAACTCTGACACAGACAAGTAAAGACTCTTCAGGATAATGATTTATTATAGGATCATTTTCCTACAAACATTTACCCACCAGTGTGGTGGGTAGTCTTCTGAGAACTCCTTGTCAAATGGAAAATCTACCTGCATTTGGCGCCTGTTAATTTCAGACCCCGACTGTACCAAAATGATATTTCTTTCTAAACTGTTTATCTGCTCCACAAAATGAAATCAGGCTATGCGTTAACATTTAATTTTGTGTTAATATGAAGCAGTGTCTGTTACTATAGGGACAGATAAATAATTGGAAGACCTTGAGGCTCCAAAGAGAAAGGCCTCTGCTGCATGTAAAAAACAATGAACAGTGTTCATATTTTCAACAAGTCAGTCTGGATCTTACCTGAATAAGATAAAGCCAATGGACTCAACGGCAGCCCTTCTGACATCATCATTCACGTCACTCACCTCAATTAAGATAAACAAAGCAGTCAAATAATAAGAAATAACACTGAGGCTCATCAAATCCTTATGGCTAACAATAGGAGGCACATGCTCCATTATCACACCATTGAACAGTTTTAGGTTGTATAAGGTGCCACCTACAGGACAACACCGTGAACTGTTTCCATCTCTCACACTTATGTTTGTACATGTATTTATGAAATGCACATTAAATGTTATATATATTAATCTAAAATGGTGACCCCATGATGTATAAACTAGTTATGCTGCACATAAATATTTTCATAGTTGAATAAAATTTTACATTGTTAGCCACAAAAGTAAGTTCTGGTGATTCTAACATTAATAAAAAGCTGCCAAGGGTTAATGAATTCAGATCTACAATCACAGACTCACAAACAACTAGGAGCAGTGCCTACACCCCTCTGTTAAATTTGTGTATAATCCTTTATGGACAACCAAATATTTCACTCCCAACAAAAATGCTATCAATTTTTAAACAGAAATAAATCACAGTATTAAACTGAGCAGTATGAATTATGATGCCAGCTTCTGCAGCTGCTTGGCATTCGCTTCACTTGGCAGCATGATAAACATGTCTTGTCAAGAAGGCCAAAGAGGAAACACTTACAGCGACATGTAGCAGGCGTCGGATGGCCTTGTTGTTCCCAGATCCACAGTAGGCCATTCCCACAGTGTACATGCCAGAGCGTCGCAGAATGGGGTCCTATCACAGACAGTGAAAAGAAGCAGAACTTTGAGAATTTTTGTCTGGATGTGAAACAAAGATCAACATAAATCAAGCACACATCTAGTTTTTACACAAGGGTCCCTGACACACAGTACAGAAAAGAAGACCCACATGTGACAAACAGCCTGGGGTTGTATGAGTACATGGGAAGTGCACACTGGAGTGCAATGACCTTATTAGATGCACTGAAATTAATACCAAACTGACTTCCAACATTGGTTGAATTAATCAAGCTTGTGTAATTCCATATACATTGCATTACTATGAGAAAAAGTTGCACCAGTGCCATTAATCATTGTTCCTTGAGAATAATGAACCTCATTATGTACATGATTTTCTCTGAGTGCATTTTAGCTTTACCTTGTCTCTGCAGAGACTTTCAATGAGGGTATCAGCCTCCTCCATGCGTCCATACATGACAAGGGCTATTCCCACTGCCAGGCCACGCAAGATCTTCTCATGCTGTGTCTCCTGAGCATAGCCTACCATGTCTTCAATGGCCTGGGCTGACTTGGAGCCCAGCATGACCAGGCCCAGAGCCAAGCCTGCAGCTTCACCTGTGAGGTTACATGAGATGGTCCGAAAATAGCTAATTTAACTAGATTGAACAAGACATGGTACATGTATCAGTAGCTGAAGCACATAGTAAAGATTGCTTGGCCACATGTCAATATTTCAAAAGCACAATATAAACTGTAATACATTTTATCATTTAGACCTAGACAAGCAGGACATAAAACACAGATATATTTTTTGTATTTTTAGTTAAAATCTTATTTTAGTAAGCAGTGAGGATCAAAAACTAGCCTACACACCAGTGACAGCATCATCCTGGTAAAGATTCGACTTGAGGAGGTCATAAACATCCTGTCTGGCTGTGCCCAGTGCAGCTAA